ATCCATCCTATCAGCTCCATTTTCAGCCTGTAGCATAGAGAAATAAATTGTGTTGGCCTCATGAAGCTATGTTTGCTCGTTCACGTTTCTATATCTAATAAATTCAGTACCTGTAATGTGTAAGTCTTTTGAGGAGATATAATTCTAAAACAGAGTCGAAGATCTGTGTCCTCTGCGTCCAATTTTATCAGTGAGGTACGGAGATCGATCATATTGCAATCTAGGCTTCCCTGTGAAGCTGATCGATTGTGTCTTGAACGAAATCTCCCAAAGACGCCGCTATTATGCTCTCCTAAACCACTGTAGTAATGCTGAGATCCCTATAAATAGAAAAAGATGATTAGAAGGATAGAAACTGAGAAAGTGAAACTTAAAATGAAAGAATACAAAGGTAAGAAAGACTTGTTTAACAGACACAAATATAAATATAGCCACGCCATGAGGGAGTGCTAGAGATATCTACAATTCATATATAAAATAAATGTACGAAATTGGACATTGACATCTAGAACTATAACCAAGTTTGAAAGAACTTATGGATCTCTTTCATGGAAATGAGGCAGTGAAAAGGAGCTTGGCACACATACCGCTGATTTATTACCGGTGTTTCTGTAATAGTATAGGGATCCATGGTTGTCAAGCACAAAGAATCTCCTTTTCCAATCAGCTCTCAAACTAGCTGATCGCTTTAATAGATACCCTTGTTTAGTTACCTGCATTTGTACAGAAGACAAAATAAGTAAGACATTAGCCTGGACAAGAACTGAAGCAGTGAAGTGTACAACTAGTCATCATAAATCTCAATTTCTGCATAATTGTATTGCAGATTATATCTTACAACAGAAGGCCCAAGTCTTGAAGCCAGAAATATTCTTTGCAAGGGCAACACAAATATTGACACTATTACTTTAACTTTATAAGCATCTGTATGGGAGCTGGATTAATTGTGTCAGTTAGAAAACAACAGTAGGCCAAGCAAGATCCTGTCAATCTACATAGCCATATCCAGAGACAGCGACCGTTATATCTTTGGGCAAACTATGCCACTTCTACCCATTTGCCAGTGGCAAGACAAAACTTAATCAATTTCTTTACCAGAGAACCATTGGAACAATTTTTGAAAACTGAAAACTATGGTTTGGAGACCCTTACTTCCTTGTCTGCTGTTGAAATTGAATTTGCTTCTACACTTTTACGGGGGATAGCTCTATAAACATGGTTTCCATCAACACCAGAGGGATCTGCTTTAGCAGAGGCCTGTTGGCTGTCTAATTCAGATTGAGTCCTGAATTCTTGAATGCGTCTTGCAAATCGATCTTGTTCAATCTTAGACTGTTCTTTTGATTGTTGTGCGAATGTCAATACCTGTAAGAGGAAAAGTAGCAAGTAGCAGTATTAATGAATTTTCTTAGAGAGAGCTTTAAGTATCTTTAACTGTTAAGTCTCTAAGTCTGCACGTCATTATCTCTTGATTAGCTTAAGATTATAAATTTTTTACATCACTTGTTAGCGGGTGGAAATTATAGGTCCTTTAACTATTAAACATGTCTATCACCAACAAGAAACAACTATACATCAAATTACTAGAGCCATATTTATCCTAAAAACAAAATGTTAGCCTTTCGGAAAACCTCATCATTTTCTAGCTTTTCTTTTTTGCAAAAGCACCGAACAAAGAGGGAGAGATACATGGTTTAAACAGAGGTAATTGGCACCCGTTTCATATGCCTTAGTAAACGAGTTGGCAATACAAGCTCCCAAACTATTTATTTGCATATTCCCACTGTCGGAAGAGTTGATATTAAGGTTATACCTGATGGATGTAAGGCTCCAATTGACTCAATAGATCATAACCCTGAAACACAAAGAGACCAAATTAAGGAATACAACGTGGCACAGATGTTGCCCTTAGTTGGTCACACTTGGTGACATATCTAGATGCAAAATAAGAAGAAACCTACAAGCTTAAAATATCTCAAATGGGAATCCATAATTGCACTTATAGATTCCAAGAACTCGTACTTCTTTTTTGCTTCAATGGTCATCAATGAATTTACCTGCATTCCTTAAATCAAAGAGAAAACCAATTAGACGCAGAAAGGTCAAAATATCATAGTAGTAGTGGCTTCTGTTCATAGACTTAGCATACTAGATTAAAACGGCTTTTCTCAAATGCTGACTTCGAGTTCTCCAGATCCTGTAGACACAACACGACAAGTTCGTTAGAATCCCAAAGATATAATATATGGTTATGTAGTGCAGATATACAGTTTACGCATGCGTGGATACAGAAAAAGATATGTACACACATCACTGCGTGAGATTTTTCTTGAATATTAATTTATATATATGAAATACAGTGCCAATACCTCTTCCAACTCAGCAACAATGTCTCCTCTGGTATTCTTCTTTAGCGACACAAACTTTTCACGTGCCTTCAAATGAATAAGAAAATTCATTACATAGCTTTAGCTCAAGAATACCATGCACAACATTATATCTTAAATAGATTAAGCATCAAATATGATGCTTGTCAGTCTCCCATGTTTGAAAACTCTTTTGTACTACGCAGAAGATGAAAAGAAAACTTACACCACTTTTTCTGCAAACTTGTTTTACATAAACAAATAAACTTCCATCTAGTATCTTTTCAAATGACCAGGCACCAGCCATTTCGATATTAGTGTGAAAAGAAAGAAAAAACTAAGTTCTAACTGTAGTGACACCAATAACATATTCTATCAAAAGACAGATAAGACGTATATCTCCAAACACAATAAGTAAGCGAAGCACTAGACTATAATCAATTACCTGATCATAAGAATGGACAGCTTTATCAAAACGACGGCGAGACTCCTGAAAAGGTAGAAAACAGTAAAGTCGATTATTGTCAAATGATAGCTTTAATTTTTGATAACATATTTCATAGATCAATGCAGGAAGGAATGTACTTTTCTTCTAAAATGCTTCACTAGAAATAAGAGAATGACAAATCGTTATAGCCAACAGGTGGGATTCAAAAAACAACAACCTAATCTTTTGTTTATTGATCAGTCTGGAGTCTATAATATTTGACGATCACATTTTACACTTCACAGTACAGAAAATGTAGAAAACAATCAAAATTTGCAGGGTAAAAAGAGGTTACCTTTGCTTCTTGTAGATCAACAGTCATAAAATTTGTCAGCCTCTCAAGTAATACGTGCTCCACCTACAAAAACACAAGATTTCTACAAATGATGCAGTGAAGGGAAACAGCTTTCAAGCAAATATCCAAATTTTGGTTTTCAAACTCACTACATTTTAGATTTCTCTACCAAACATTTGTAATGGAAAGTACGAACAAACAAGACTAGTATGCCCTCAAACGTTTTTAGCGACCAGACAAATATAAAGCTTCCAATAATGAGACATTATTCGGTCTTGACTGATATTTATGTGTATACACAAGATACGAAGGGAGTTACCTGTGAGCGAAGAAACTCCTTATAAGAGGAGAGCTCTCGAAGTGTATTTATAAATTTAGATATTACTGGACCTGGGGCCACCCAAAAGTATAACAACGAAATATATCAGAAACAAGACCTTCTACATATTTTCTTGGGTATTCAGTCAATCATATCATAAGAAAAAAGTGGGAAACTAGAACTCATGAACTTAGAGTTCATACATGAATTATCCAGATTGATCCTGTGAAACTCTATAAAAGCTATGCTTCCTAATTATCATCCAACATGTCTCAACATACCTAAGTGGGTTTTTTCTAATATCCTTCCCACTACTACTGTCCAAGTGTAACCCAGACCTCCAACAAAGTCTACTTAACTAAAAACCACGCGTCAATAAAAAGACTTGGTTCCGCAAACCACCACTACTTGCATATAGCAGTACTCTATAACTAACTGGTGAGCTAAAGGAATGCATCATAGTTAATTTTTATAAACCAAAGAGCCCACAATCTCCTCTGTGGAGAAGGTATCAAAGTTCATAGCACCTAAACTAAGTAATCAAACAAATAAGAATCAACAACCTCCAATTGAAACACTGACGGGATCATCATGTCCAGCACCAAACTCTTCTAGAGAATCTGCAAAGGCACTGACTCCAGTAGATGCCTCTCCCAAAGCCCCCCTGTAACGAAAAACAATTCAATTCCTATCAAGTTCCGGTAAAGACAATTGAAGAGAAAGATACAACAAGAAGACAGGAATGAAGGTGAGAACGAGAGTGCTAATCATTAAAAATTCCCTTTCCATTGAGTCTTAAATGGTACAAAAGTTTAAAACTTTCAGCCTTCAATGGTCAAAGAGTTCAAGAGAATGACTTATGAATAAGACAAAGCTTATATAGCAGAGAAAGATGATTAAGAAGACATTACGACAAAACCGGAAACAACTAAAAAAAGTAGGTAGAGATACTCTTCTTACATGAACTTCTTAACACCTTTGTACAACTTCTGACAACGATCTTTAAGCTCATCAGTTGTCCCTTCCAAGGAGAAAACCTGATCCAATCAATAAAATCGATCAAATCCCAAAACTTTATTGGAGAAAACTTGAATATATCACTAATGAGGTCTAAAGTAGTGTTACCTGTTTTTGAAACATTGGGGAATCCTCAAGATTGATAAAACCAGCCATTGTTAAGACAAAACAAGAAGAAGTCTACGAATCGAGTCAACAAGACAAGACAAGTAAACCCTCGAATTGCTGTCTTTTGCTTTCTTCTTCGATTTGAAAATATAGATCTCGCGAGACTCAGAGCTGTTTGATGATGTTTTTGATTTGCTTCGGGAAGAGCCAGAAAAATCTAAAATTAACATTTTTACAAATAAACCCCTAGATTTATAATTAATTACAGAAACGGAAGGAAATAATATCAGATGACAAAACCATCCTCATGTTAAGTAAGCCACGTTTTCGAAAAATTCTATACTGAATATTTACAACTTTAATAACTTTAAAATGTTGTTGCTTGTAACAACACTCACAAAATATAATTCATCCATCTTGCTCAGCTTTGAGGTATTCCAAATCATCCATTTGAAACAACAAAGTTACAAAAATTCTTTGTCTTTGTTCTCGTATGCTCTCTAATTTCTCTCTTAAAGATTTCATCCTCATAGCTGCAATCGTTGTCTCTCTGTTTTTCTTCGATAACGGTTTTTGACTAGTACACCCACAAAGCCCCCAAAGAAATGGATCGAACTTATTAATTTTAGGATGTGAGCAAAAACCCCAAACCATTAGACTGCAAGGTCTTGCTCTTGTTATCTCTCGCTTGATTAACTCTAGTTTCTTTCTTCTATCTATAATCACTTTTATATCTTCTTCACGTCTTTTTTCCAAAACCTATCATTATTTCCATCAAAAAATTTACTCCATAGTCTCCATGGTGTTGGTTTGAAAGCTATTTATATGATGGCAAGATTGAGAAGTACCAAAACAACTTAGAAACATGTGTTAATGTTAAAAAAAAAATTAGTGTGAGTCTTTTAGTTTTACTTTTGATTTGGGAAAAAGGAAAACTAAAATTATAAACTTTGAGTTTCTTTTTTATAAATGATAAAGAAAATTAGATTAATGATGTTTTTACTTTTAACAAATAAAGAATGAATAGATAATACAAAATGTTTTTATTTTAAAAAACAAAAGCTAGAGAAAAACCATATATATCCATTCAACATCTAAACAAAACTAATATGGTAGTGCATTTCAATTCAGCATGATTTATTCACTATAAATATAACAGGATAAAAATTGAGAATAATGTTCTTTAAACTAAAGTAAAGGTATTTTGCTGTGAAATTAAAACTGAACTAATCTCCAAAGAAAAATATAATCAAACCGAATTAGGGGAAGTAGTTTTGCAGTTAAATGATACACTTACCTGAATCTGTTTTTGTATCTCCTTTTTTGACAATACAGAACTCCGGTTAAATTCTCTTAGTTTATCCTATGAGAAAGTTAACTCAAAGTAAGGGTTTTGAAAAAGATCAAAATGGAAACATATTGAGCAAATTATATAGAAGATTAAAAATGTGTACTTGCTGTTCAAGCTTCTTTAATGGAGACCCTGATTCTTTATGTTTTTTTGAATAAAACATCTTGAGAAGATATCTCTCAGCATCCATATCATGCACCCCGTGTAGCATCCGATGATTTAGGTTCTATGATAAATATATATTAGCTAGCATCAGCAGATTCTATTAAACATTTTGAGATTGAAGGAAAAAAGGATAAATTAGAAGAGGTTTTCGTTGTATTCTTTACATGTACATTCTTCTTATCAGGACATGCGCCATGAGCAAAGGTTAGCTTGTCAAGTTCGATCTTTAAACAAGCCAACTGATCACAGTCTGTCGTTTTCCAATTTTCGTAGAAACCTAATGCATATTGCAATGACTTCCTTAGTCTTGAGATGATGTTTTCGGGATCAAGCTGTTAAAAATATACCCAAGACCACAAAGTTTGTTTTTGTTAGACTTAGAATAATGAATATACTCTTTACAACATCTTAAAGACTTTTTCCTCTTTTCTCCAATATTAAATTACCTCTTGTTAAAAAAAAAAAAAAAAAAAAGAAATTACCTCTTGTTGAATCTCATCTATGAGCTGTTGGGCTCTTTCCCGTATTCTTATGGTATCATAGATCTTTAGACATTGAATTCTTTGATACTTCTGATCTCTCCTGGATTTGGGAACCTCCATAGTACTAGAACTAAATGAAATATCAAAAAAGGTTTTAAAAGGGGTTTGCAAAACAAAATGAAGGAAATTTGATGAGTGATGAGTATGTATATAACAAATGTGCCAAGACTCTTTGCCTCACCAAAAATAATACTATAAAGATTCTTTGTTGGTACTTGGCAAGTACTACTTGCTTTGCACGCCAATGAAGTTGACTTAGACGATCTTCACCAGCTTTCTATAAACAAGTTTGCTTGTTGCGAAAGAATCAAAAGATTTCAACAATTATTGATTCTATAGTTTTCACTTACTTCTTTCAATTTGGGAACCACGCAACTTTTCTTTTTCTAAGATATGGGCTCCATTATCCAAATCTACATTAATCAATCTCCACGTATCAACAACTTAATACTTTCTATGTAGTTGTCGTTTTATATTTTCATTGCAATTTTTTAACAAAATTTCCAGATTTATCATGATTGTTTAAATGTATTAGCCAATCAATACACGTATAATTAAATTCCAACGAAAATCCTAAAGCAAAAAACCTAATCACTTTCTTGTTTAAAAAGCTTACGAAAATTTACTTTCTTGTTTAAGTGGGCTCTTAAGACGGCAAAGTCGAGACCTGCTCAAAGCCTCAAACGATAGCAGGCTGCTCCGATGAAAAATTGTTTTGGTTTATTATCCCAAAAAAAAAAAAAAACTGAAACTGAAACTGAAACTGGTGACATATACAAAAAAAGAATAATACATGGTGACATATACAAAAAAAAAAATGTATATCAGAAACTATATTTGCTCTAATTCTGTCATAGAATCCGTCTAACCTCAACGGAAACCGCTACCTCTTTTGTTAATTAGACAAAAGTTAATCCATTTGATTTCTTTGAAAGATGCGTCAATTTGCTCGTTGAATCGACACTTAGTAAAACAATGGTTAATTAGACCATCGAGTATATATATATATATACTCGATCGTCTACACTTGGTAACTCTCGATACAATTTCAACAAACAAAACTGAATGAGTTCAAAAAAAAAAAAAAACTCAAATTGATATATGATGGCTGATTCATATCATGCAACAAATAAAATGATCCAAAATATCACAGTATGGAGTTCATCTCTTTTAATTTTGGATCATGTTTAAGTTTACATGATGGTTATTAAGGTTTATGATATGATTTATTTTTAATTTATAAATAAAGTAACGGTCTTCATTTTCGTTAGATAGAAACCATAGGCTAAAAAAGGGTTTTTGGGTTACAAGTTTACTTTTTACCACACACCAATCATTTCAACTTTTGACAATTGCGTCAAATATCCCCAACGGTAAACTTTACTCTCTGCCTTACATTATTGTCATCCACTTGTTCCAAAATTCCACATTACAAGAATCATTCGATTCTCTTCTATCATCATCTTCGATCTCCATCAAATTCAGACCAAACATGGAAGCTCTAATTCACCACTTCACTCTCCTCTCCGATCAAGCTCTTGTCGACAAAACATTCGACCCTTCAAGAATCGAAGACCTTATGCGTCTCTTCGAAGTCGATTCCTACAAAGCTTGGGCAGCTCTCGAATCCGAACAGCAACAAGAACTCGAAGAAGCTGAAGAAACTCTCCGTGAAGCTGAACTTGAACTTGATCTGTAAACTTTTCCCCTTTTCTTGTTTTGAATTTTCACAGATCTGATTTTATTGGGTTTTTGTTAGGGATATGGAGTGGGGAATGGAGGAGTACCGGCGAACGTTGGAGGAGATGGAGAGGATGGAGGCGGCAGAGCTGAAAGAGCTTGAGGATAAAGCGGAGACTGCTCGGAGAACGGGGAATTTAATGGAGAAAGCCGCGACAATTGCCGCAAAACGGCATATTGCGGCGGCTATGGGATCAGCCGCCGCGTCTATGAGATCAGCTTGGAAGACTGCAGCTGGGAATAAGGTTCATCCATCTTGATCGATGAATATGATAAGATGACGATATGATAATCAAAGTATTAATTGGTCCCATATATGTTATTAGGTGGAGTGGAGAACATTTTAATAAATAATTATTTCCTTTGATCATAAACATATCCTAAAGGATCATATTTCATAGATTTGCAAGTATGTTCCACTTTCTTCTTCATATTGTACTCTTGGAGGATGTCAATGATACACAACCACATCATATACTTCAAAGAGCTTGACAGTTCCTGGTTCCTGAAAACACTAAAAAGACTCGATAAAACATATTAAAAAAGTGCTAAAAATATGACTTTAACACTGCTAAACCTAATGTGTCTACTGTAAATAGCCAATGTATAAGAGAGTGAAAAGAAATAAAAGAACAAAGATGTCTTCATTTCTAGCGTATTTCAAATGCGATGTTTCTCTCATGTGTTTTGCAACTGTTTCAAGTTTCAACATAGCTGGTGCAGAGTCCAAATATACCAAGCATGCTCAAGATAGAATCAAATTGATTATGTTATACCATATCTTTTCCCAAGGATGTAATATAAACCATGCTTGGATGGGCATTTCTCCTTGTCTCCTTACTACAAACCTCGGGCAATATATAGGAATTATAGTAAGTTAAACCTTCCTATCAGTGGTATTTAATACAGCAACTTTACCTTACTCTTGCTGGTCAACTCTTTGGCAAACTGAATTTATGTGTTCTTCACATAGTTGATGTGAGGAGTTGAATTGGTTACTTGAAACTAGCCGATTTCTTTGCACCTTTTCAAATGTTAGTTAGTTATGTAGCTTAATCAATGTCACATTTGAATATCTCACGCCTTACATGGAGGTTTTCTTTTCCTATAGTTCTTCTATATTGTGATAGTTCCGGAGACTACGTGGCAAGATTCAAAGGAGCTATCGAAGAGAATATGCATTAGTTGTTGCGTACATGCGAAAGAAGATGAGAAGAATTCGTCATAGATGAGAATAAACAGTAGCTGCCTTGCTAGGACAGTAAGCTTTAGTTGCTCAGGTCCAAACTTAATTAAAAGGCACCTACAGCAGATGTTTTACCTTTGAGCTAGGGTCACTACAGTGAGAAAGAGGTCAGCAAGTTCTGATTTAGACCTTCCTGTTTAAAATGCGTTTTGCTTGTGCTGTAAGAGAGAATATGTTTCACACCGTTCTCTCATTTAAATGTTGGAATCAGATGCTGAATGCGAAAAATAGACTACAGCAGATATTTAGCTAGAAACTATGGATCACCGGACTGAAGAACCAAAGCACTTGCGGAATAACCAAATATGGAAGCCAATGAAGTGAATGCCAGGTTATGAAGATAAAACAAATGGTACCATATATTTTAAACGATTCGTAGACTGTCAATTATAGCGAAGTCAATATCGATTATCAAACCCGGTCTTAAGATTAGGAATTAACTTGTCACACACAGTGTGTTTGCAATGGGCTCAGCATCAGCTAATTCAAATGCTTATTTATATATCAGATTTATTATTGATATTATGGTGCAAATAAATTCAGAGACTATCAGTTACCCCCTGTGACTTATTCAGAGATGCATATTATGATGCAAATAAACCTGGATGCAAATTATTGATATTCTCAAGCAGCTAATCAGAAACTAGGAGGAGGAGGGACGGGAACGGTGGTTCCAGCCTCAATCTGACCACGACCAATCAAACGCCAATGCCTGTCGACACGGCGGCTTAGAGCCACCTTCTCTCCTATGTTGGTGCAGACAGGCACTGTCAGTTGCACTTTCATCATATCTTTCTTCACTCCTAGAACCTTAGCTCCCGCCGACATCGACCCGATGTTCACCATCAGTATCTCTCCCTTGCTTAGCTTTGCCACTTTCATCTGCTTCTCTTTTTCCTTTGTCCTCACCCCAATAAGACGGGTCAGAAGCTGGAAACTCACCTCAAGCTCAACATAGACATCAGGGAGAGAACCCATTTCACCAAGCACTTGACCAACCAACCTATCAGCACGCGTGAGCGTAGGGTCCATCGTTGTCCCAACTCCGATCAGACCTCCCGGCACAGCAAACTGAAGCTCGTTCTGTTCTGCGTACAATGAAGTGATACGGGAGTAAATGGGAGAGCATCTTGGGTTTCCAAGCTCATCTTTGCTAACGATACCAGGTCGGATCTCAATCAATTGGTTTACTTTCAAAACACCCTGCAAAGAAAGCAAAGATCAAATTGGACCATGCAATACAAACAAAGGGATGGCAATTATATACTAAATTGTTTAAGCAGAAGCTACCCAAGCATGATAAAAGTCGTTTAGTTTGTTTTCCTAGTGTTTTGCCCATTGATAACAATTCAATGGGGGACTGCAGAAATGAAACTATACAAAATTCCAGCGAGATGGCAAGATAATTTGAACAGAGTCCAAGGTAAATGAAGAGAAGAGGATCATTACCCGGAAGATACTTCCACCTGCCACTCCACCTTTCATATCAGCAACCTCATAGCCAGGTTTATTGACATCAAAAGAACGAATGATTATCATCTTTGGCGGTGACACAAAATCCCTTTTAGGGATTGGAATCTTCTTGACAATGTACTCGCACACAGCATCAATGTTGTATTTCAGTTGTGCTGAGACAGGAACTATAGGGGCACCCTCGGCATTTGTGTTCTGTAACAGGTTTGTAGCTTAACCAACTGATGAAGAAAATATGCAACAAGAGATCTTTTAGAGATGGGAAAATTCAAACCGTTATAAATCTCTGAATTGCCGTGTGCTGTTCGATGGCGGCTTTTTCTTGAATGAGATCAATCTTGTTCTGAAGGATTATAATATGCTTAAGGTGCATCATATCGACGGAAGCAAGATGTTCAGCTGTCTGTGGTTGAGGACAGACCTCATTCGCAGCAATTAAAAGTAGAGCACCATCCATGATGGCGGCCCCATTGAGCATTGTGGCCATGAGAATATCATGTCCCTGTTGAGAAAACAGAAAACACCTCAATGGTTATAGGAGAAGTAAGAGTTTTTGAAATATGCATCTGAGAAGTGTAAAACTCATCATACCGGGCAATCCACAAAGGAGACATGCCTCAGTAGCTTCATCTTGCAGTTCTCAAATCCAGGGACATGGCAATTTGGGTTGTCTTCTTTCCCACTCCCATAAGACCTAGAAAATAACAGATAAGTTGCTAGCTAACCTCATACACATCAAAAGAAGATTAAAAGCAATCGAGAACAGAACTCACTTGTAGCACATTGGTCTAGGGCACTTGTTATCCTCACATTGGTAAATCTTGGCATTTGCATATCCAAGTTTAATGGTAATGTTACGCTCCAATTCATTCTTAAAACGGACAGTCTGCAGAAACAATTGATATGAAGTTAGAAGAACCTCTAGTGACAGTTCATTAGAAAAAGACTCAATAGTCCACTACCTGCACACCAGAAATAGCTTTCACAACCGTAGACTTTCCGTGTGCAACATGTCCAATGGTTCCTGAGATATAGACCACAGTTAACATTTTAGCTTATATAGACCCAGAGCCTCGACTGAAACTTAAATAAAGCAGAAATTACCTATGTTTATGGTTGCCTGGCGAGATATGACCTCGGGAGACAGAGGATGTAGCTCATTTACATCAAGCTTACTTAGATCTTGTTCAGCTAAACCCTTGCTCCACCCCATTATGACAAAAAAGGAACCGCCTTTATCCTGCTAAAAGCAGAATCAATCAGAATTTCAGAATCGTCGCCACCGGTAAGCTAAAGACGATTCTAAGGTGCCCCGAAACCTTAGGGCTTCTACACAGCAATAGTAATGAAAATCCAACTGATTTACTTTGAGATCGACAAACCTGATGGATGGTTGGAGGCTTGAAGCGGATTGGCGAAAATAATCAAGTTCGCTTGGAGGAGATGTCGAAGAAATATAAGTCGGCGTTGAAGATCTTTTATACGGTCAAAGTTAGGGTTTTTTTTAATATTTCTTTTTCCTTTCCCAAACGGCCAAACCTTCCTCCATTTATTTATTGAAACTAGGTGAGTGTGGTTTTTTTTTTTTTTTTTTTTTTTTTGTTGTATAGTTTTGAGTCAGAAGATTGATTTACTAAAAAAAATTATTTAACGTTGTACTTGTGAAGGTGTATCCCCAACTACAGACAACCATTACAACTATGTAATGCATTTCTCAAATTCAAATACAGTCTGTAGTCAAAAGGTATATTCCCCACCTATGTTTCTAAGATTTTTTTGGGATCTTCTTTAATTTTATTCTTCACGCAAAACAATTTCTATATTTTACTATTCTACTATGTTTCTTTAATATTATCATTCTACTAATTTTTTTTCTTTGTCATCTAAATTTTATTAAAATTACTATGGTGTGATACTTGGAGTCTACAAACATAAGTCGGCGGAAGACAAGATTTCTCCGGAGTCATAAGCCAAAAAACAGAGGCATACTATTAATACTATGAGGCAAAGGGATAAAGCGGTAGGAGAGTAAACCCCACTAAAGAAAACGATAGCAATAAATTAAACTCGACAAACTGGAATCAAACCATAGCACACAAATCAACCCATTTTCAGGAGATACTTTAAGAGAAAGTAACGAAGTTGCCCTAAACCAACCTTCGCTACACATGTCCTCCTCTTGAGTTGACAAACTGCCTAAACGAATCAACAATCCTATGCTTCACAACCCGGCAAGATAGAACCACTAAGGAGTTCCTCACACTTTCTTCCGAGTACGGCGAGATCGTAGACAAGGCGACAATTCACGCCTAAATACAAGCTTCACGATAAGAGCAGACCTCGATCAAATCTGAAATGCAGAGACGAAGAGCGAACGAACCAATCCGGGTAGCACCAAACTCAAAAACCCGAGAAAGGTAAGCATATCGAACCAAAGAGGAATAAAGTACATCTCCACCAAATCAAGAAGACACCTGAAGCCTAGCCAAAAAAACCAGTGTCGAGCAAACGTTAACCATCGCTAACCGAATGGGAAACCTCAATCCTAACCAAACAACCACATCCATAGCAAAAGCATTCATCAAAAACCGGAAGACACTGCTTGTTCTGCATCCTATACCGTAGGAGTAGATGAAAACTAATCCATAAAACCCTGAAACCGTCGAAGCCTATACCTGAACCAAACTACCAAATACCAATACAAAGCTACAACTAATAACATCTGATAAGTCCGATAAGAATTAGCGATAAGAGCTTATACCCTA